TACATGAGCAAATCGCTTAATAAAAACCAACAAAACTACTCAACTACAGAAAGGGAAACCTTGGCCGTTATAACTGCTCTTGAACACTGGCGTTGCTATCTCGACAATGGTAAACAATTTACCATTTATACTGATCACGCAGCCCTTAAGTGGTTCCTAAATTTATCTAATCCCTCAGGAAGACTTGCTCGTTGGACTTTACGTTTATCTTGCTTTAACTTTGTCCTGAAACATAAGAAAGGCAAAGATAATATTGTTCCAGATCTATTATCTAGATCTAAACCTAAAGACTTTGCAGATTCGCCACCTCAAGGTGTACTTCCAATTTCCACAGAAGTTTCATCCCCTAATCGTGATTTGGATCACTACAACAAAATTTTGCTCGGATGTCAAAATAACCCTGACTCCTACCCGAATTATACTATTAAAGACAACAAGCTTTATCGTTGTATTCATTCTCCAAATAGCCTCAATGATGATTTCATTTGGAAAGAAGTTCCTTTACCTCATGAAAGATGTAGGCTCATCGAAACTAACCATGGCTCTGAACTTGAACCTCACCTAGGTATCTTTAAAACTTACAAAAAACTTTCATTACGATATTACTGGTCTGGTATGTTTAAGGACATTGCCAGATTTATCTCTAACTGCGACACATGCCTGGCGTATAAACATCCAAACCATTCACCCTACGGACCAATGGGCAAACCAAAAATTTGCTCTAGGCCCTTCCAGACTATATCGCTTGATCTTATGGGTCCATTACCCATGACTAGAAATCGTAATCAATACATCTTAGTTATTAACTGCTTTTTTACTAAATATACTTTAATCTTTCCCCTTAAGCGTGCTACGACGCCTAATATAATCTCTTCTCTTGAGAACTCGGTTTTTCTGACACATGGTGTCCCTCAGACCATTATTATGGACAACGGACCCCAATTCCACTCTCGTGAATTCATTTCCTTCTTAAAAAAATATAAAATTCCTTTTATATTTCATTCTCCATTCTATTGTCCTCAAGTAAACCCTACTGAAAGGTACAACAGAACAATTATTACTGCTTTAGCTGCCCTCGTAGGTGATGACCATAGGACGTGGGATAATCACCTCCCTAAAATCCAACAGGCGTTGAACAGTTGTGTGAACTCCATAACTGGTTATACGCCTAACTTTTTGGTATTTGGTCGTGAAACAATTCCCTGCGGCTCTTTTTATACCTCAGCTCGAAGTATCGAAGAAGTTACCTTTCTACCTCGCGATATTTACTCTGAAAATGCTGGATTCCTCTCATCTATTTTCGACAAAGTTCAAACTACCTTATACCTTGCTCACGCTAAAAACAGTGCACGCTATAACCTACGTCGCTCATTCAAAGAATTTAATGTCGGCGATATGGTTTGGCGAAAGAACTATGTGCAAAGTAATGCAGGTTCTTATTTTAGCGCTAAGCTCGCGCCTAAATTTCTTAAATGTAAAGTTGTTAAGAAAATCTCACCTTTAGTGTATATATTAGAAGATATCAATGGCTCTAAAGCTAAATGGCATATCAAAGACATTAAAATCTAAAACTCATACCTCGTTCACCGCATTAATTCATTCATAACCATTCATTCATTTATCACTCAAATCATAATCTCTAAATTTAATATTTTTTTTGTTTACCCTAAAGCTCTTAAGCTCTCTCAACGTCTATAAAAGACGTTAACCTTTAAAATTTACCTCTATTTTTCTATAGAGTATTTTTCTCCAGTGCTCTACCTTACTTAACCTCTTTAAAGGCAACTAAAGCCTTTACTTTAACCTTTACCTAAGACTACCCTAATGGTCTTCTCTACCTTAACCCTACATTCTTAAGTACTAAATGATACTTCTTTCCGAGCGGCTGACTACTCGTTAAAGAAGCCTTAGGTCCGAGCGGCTGACAACTCGTTAAACAAGCCTTAGGTCGGAGCGGTTAATTACTCCTAAAAGAAGCCTAGGTCAATATTTTTTTTTCCACTTATGGAGCGGTTGACAACTCCCTAAATAAGCCTGTCGTTATTAAGGAACACCCTTCTAGAGTGGCAGTCATTGATCGTGAACTCCACCCTTACCTGTATGAAGTTGAGGTATGATAGAAGAGGAATGTGTATTTGTATGAATGGTTGTATGTTTCTGCGAAGTAGTATTCCTCGGATCTCTTTTGGCCTTTTCTTTAAGCAAAATTTTCTCTAGTCGAAAATTTTCTGGGGTCGTGGGGGAAAATGTAACGTACCTTATTATGGTTTCGACTCATGGTTTCGATTATCATAGGTTCCATTTCGCACATTTTATCATATAACATCATCGATATTCATCAGGCATCATCATATATTTTATCATTTATTCCTGGAAACACATAATTTCAAAAATATCACACACTATTCATCACTTTGTAAATACGTATAATAATTTCTTCTGTACTGAAAATCACTATTCCAGAGTGCTGGACACTTACCGGCATTTCTCTTTATTCTGTTATTTACTTGTTTTCACTTATTATGCTTTGATTTTATCTATATTTAATTTATTTATTTTATTGACATTTTATGACAACCTAATGTTTTTTATCCGTTGCCATGGCTACCCATGACACGGATACTCTCTCCAACTACGTCTATGACTATTCAACCTCCACAGACCACTTACTTGGATTCTTTTTTGGCTCGATTCGAACCGTGTCTAAATTCAAATGGTTCCGGACCTATAAAAGGCCGAGCCTCCCTGATCATTTATTCAATTCTACGGCAAAAGTTGTCTACTCAACTTTTGAAAGCTCGCTACCGAGCTCTAAATTAATAAAAGGCCTTGTCCCGGGGCCGACTGCCCCGGGACTCAAGAAAGACCTCAAAGCTTTTTAGCACCTATTGGCTCTTTAAACAACTTCCTAACTCCAATACTATACTACTATACACGTTCTCGCAACCTCATCGGTGGGACTGCGCCTGGTCTCCAGCTTCTTCGGCCAGCCTCCAGCTGCTTCAGCCCGCCTTCTACCGACTCCTGCCGTTTCTTCAACGCCCGCCTCTGGCCGATATACGCCGGCCAAACTACCAGCAGCGCCGCCAGCAACCACCAGGGGAGGCCAAGATCTAAGACGGCTGCACAGGAGCGCTTCTGCCTCCAAGGAGCGCCGTCCATCTACCTGTAGCACGACCTACCGTTCAAGCCGCCCCTGAAGATCGCCGACGACCCACGCCCTACCGTTCAAGCCGCCCCTGAAGATCGCCGACGACCCACGCCCACTTCACAACTCACACTACACACATATTCCATATTTTTTTTTTAATAATCTGTAAATAGTACTTTATCTTGTAAATATATATTCCTATACTGTTCTTTTGATTTTTTTTTCTTCCTATCTAGTTTTATTTTGTTGCTACACAACAATGCGTCAGTGGAACGACTGGTGGTGCAGGGCAAAGTCGAGGGCGTAAGAACACGCGGCAGATCACCAATGCGCTGGACTGACCAGATAAAAGCGGCACTGAACGGTCCACTTCACAAGTGCTCTAGAAAGGCCGCAGTGCGGGACGAATGGCGGCGTATTGTGAAGCGCGCCACCAACCCTGATGTGACGACCACGACCACTCTGTCAAGTAGGCACAGCTAGTATGAAATAGAACGGAGAAAATTGCTGTTACTTGCCGGTTCTTCTCGGTATATAAGGTTTCCCGCCGTAGACTTACGAACCGATGGCGTAAGTATTTGGGAACAAGTACACTTAGCACGAACCAATATCGAACAGTTTGCGAGTGCGATATATCATTGTCAAATGTATACAGTACCCCTAGCACGAACCAATATCGAATTCGTATCGTTTGCGAGTCCGAAATTTCATTGTCTTTTGACATTTCGGTTTGCAAACTATTCGAATGCGATAATGGTTCGTGCTAGGGGTACTGATTTTTAGTTCTCGTTACGCCCGTTAAAGCGCTGCTGTTCATGTTTCCATACAAATTTTGACAATGATTTTTCTCACTAGCAAACTATTCGCATTCGATATTGGTTCGTGCTAGGGGTACTGAAGAGCTTGTAACGGCCTAGACTGTACTGAATAAATGATATTGAATTTGAATTACGTACTCGTTTTGTCTGGCTGCATCTAGTTAGCACCCACCAATCCCCCTCCTCATCCTGTCTGTTCCCAGCTGTGGGGACATTAACCCATCGGCTGTTATTATTCGAGTTCTATTAGTACACCCAGGCTTGATTTATGTCTTAAATCATCGTGAATAGTTTCTCTACAAACTTATCTCTTATCTAATAGACAAGTCCGTCCGTCCGTCTGTGGTGCTGTTTCAGCGGCCAAACCATAAGAGATAGATATAGAGAATGTTTAAGTTATAAGTTAAGAATAGTCTGATAAGACTACAAACCGGATGTAAGTAACGTAGCACTTCCGGTTTTCGAGAAATCACGTGATTTCTATTTCAAACGAAACCACACAAAATCTCCGAAGTTCTCAATTAATTAAATACATTTTTTTTTGGTGAACATTTGGTTCACTGGTTTGCTAGTCTATATATAAATGTGTAAATTACAAACCAACTAACTATGATAAAATTATAATGTGAAAATAATTTTCTCAAATCATGGCAAAAATCATGTATATAAACACACGAGGGGCTAATAGGCAAATGATTGTGATAATGGTTTCGATTCTGGCATTATTCTCTAAACCTAAAAGTAAATTTGACAACAGTTTATTCTTGTCATCCTCTATACAGAATGATAAGGAGAGACTGATGTTAAATTAAGTTTTAAGTTAAGAGAATTATGCCAGAATCGACACCATTATTACTTTTATTGATGAATGAAATGGGCTAATATTTATCTCAAATGTTAATAATCATTGGATACATTTTGTGTGCTTTGCTTATTACCTTTGTGTATTCTTCACTCATCATGTAAAGTTCAAATTCGTGTTTCAAAGACATTTTTCGTCTACACCGTCATCCTACATTGTAATATTATAGCGATCAATGGGGAACCGAGGGCACAATGGTGAAGATTCTACGCAACATAAAGGCGGGTATGAAACCATTGACAGTGAGAAAACTCATCGATAAAGGGCCCGTGATAGCTGGATATAAAGCGATAATGGCTGCCCGGTGCTTCTCATCAATACTCAGTAAGTTCTACTTCATATCTTTTGCTAGAAAAATAACTTAAACGTTATAACTTTGATTCAGGCCCTTTCCTCACTAGGTCAGTGCGGGCTCGTTAAAATTACACGAATCTGTAGATTCTTTACCAAGAATCCCGATATCATATTATAATGTGTTTTTATCACGCTCAATTGTCAAATTACTATGGAGTTTGACAGTTAAACGCGATTAAAAAAACGAGTGTGCTTATTACCACACGACTGAAGTGTAATTTCTTTAACTCCATCTGTATATGTATATATATATACAAATACATGTGAGTGTACAATATATACATGTATGTACATATACTTATTTCATTTACTAGTTATAAGAGAAAGAGAGAAAGAAAATGAGCGCGCGCACTGCTTTCTCTTGCTTAAATCCCCCACTCAACTCCCGTTCGATTTCGATAAAGATTCTGTACTGAAGGGAGGTCGGGAGGGTTGTCTGGGAGGAAGCTCTCATTTAATTATATGCCCTCGGTAAAAAAAAACTGTACTCCCCCCCCCCCCCCCCCTAACATGAGCACCTCGATATGATATATAGCTCGTTTTTATCACGCTCAATTGTCAAATTACTATGGAGTTCGAGTTAGTCGCGATAAAAAACGTGATAATTATAATGAAAATTGTGGTGCTCATACTAGTTCGTTTCATTTTATTTGCTACGGTTTTGTTTGCGGGAGTGACGGGACGGGGGAGTCGAATGGTTCATAAATAGTATTATTTTGTAATATAATTGTATTTTTTTTATTTCTGGAGAAATAAATCACTCAACTTAGTCAAAGTCAGAGTCAGTTTTTCATAATTCCTTGTGTTATCACAATACCACCTTCATACACAATATAATAAAGCTAAAAAACAAGTACTTTCATTGCAATATAAATGCAATTTCTTTAAGAACTAAAACTGCTGTATTGAATTTTTATTCGCATGATTTATTTATATTTTGTATGTAACTGCAAAAACTACAGTAGACTCAGCTCATTATCAATTAATGGCAATGCCTGTAACCACTTAAATTTTTGCATTGCTCCAAAAATATTTAGAATTACTATAAAAATATTCCTTTAAAGTAGTGAAACGATCCCTTAGCAACATTTTTGTTTATTACAGAGTTGAAACAACACGGGTTCATAATCGTCAAAAAAGTTCCAGATACATTAGAAATAAAGGACATCCTGCTTGGGCCTAAGTTTGATAGCGTTAAATGAATGTTTCGACATGACCCTAATTATATTTTGTTAGAATTGTTAATTTTACTAATAGTATTGTTTTTTGTTAAGTTTTTGCTTAATGTTTGCTACTCGTAATGTTTAAATACGTTAATTAGCATGTAAGTGATGCATTTCTATGAATTAAAAATAGCATTTTGATATGAACAATTTATTTGAATAATTTGTATATAATGATATGATTTCTGTACAATTCTATAATGATAGTCACCAACTAGATTCAAGTCAACTAGATAATGTTATGAGTATCTTAATCGTAGGTAGTGGCTTAATAATTTACAAATTCTAAGAGCGTGAATGAAAGCTGTACAATAACACAATAAAACAGTTGACTTAAATTTTATTTTAACTATTAATTTCTAACTTACAAAAAATACAATCATAGTCTATAGTATGGAATATTTGCTTAAGAACAATTCAATTACATTAATAGATATTAATAGGCAACTTTTTACATAGTAAGAAGCTTAAATTTTAGACAAAATGTACATTAAGGGCACCCAAACGCGAGTTCCCTTCTTCCTCCCTTGGTATAAGCATATCACTATATATTTCATTAGATTTATACAAAATCAGTCTCCTACTATTTGTTACCGAGCTCTGTCGTGTGAAAAGCAAACTTTACACTACTAAAATCAACTATTTTTGCAGTAACTCAGGCAGTCATGCGTTGCGACGCATAATAGGACGTTACAGTATGGACGTTTGGAGTTTTAACAACAATATAGTATATTAAAGTATAAATTAATTATGTATTAAGTTCTCACAATCATAAACGTACCTTGTGTACCATTATAGATTTAAAATTAGATTAACACTTAGGTCTTTCCCATATTTTACATCAGACACAACTTCAAGCACTATTCAGTGTTTCACAGCCTTGCTACAGTCGTTCCAAGCTCTCACTCGATTTAAAATTAGTTACAGTCTGTCCTTTAGACACAGGAATGATGTTACATATTAAATAGCTACCGTACTCTGCGTACACACATATAATGCATTATATAATTAATGAATGAAGTCTGAAAATCTTTGTAGAGCCGTGAGAGGGACGAAGATTTTTCCACAGTTAACCTATTCTCATAATATCATTAGATTTTCTGCTCAATTACTAATAACAATGAGGGGAATATACAATCGGTTATTTCATTAATAATATTTTTTATTATTCATAGTATAACATTTCTATGGAAATATTAACTAATTTATTGAAGCTTCAGATTAACGAAGCATACTTTCAACAAAAAATATCACATTAATAAGTTTAGATAATTACAGTATTAAATAACTACATAAATCCCTATAGATTCGAATGCATACTTCGTAAAAGAAATTCAGGTAAACTTCAAAATTGATTATTAAGGCTGGGGGGACGATGACGAAAAATTAATATGTGTAGTAGAAAATGATAGAAAGTGACAAATATCACATACACAGATCACACAAACTAGAAAACCATAATGCGAGCGCTCTCGCAACTCGGAATGATACATTTAATAACTGAAACACAAACGAGTACGACACACGTAGCGATATTATTAGACTACAGATAGGAACTTGGAAAAGAAATGCACCGGTAATAAACTCTGAGGCCCAATTGTGTAACTTTTTCGCTTTCCGTCATCCCATTTCATAGTCGGGAAAGAGATGTTATTGTCACATTGACACTTTTCTTTAGCTTCTAAAGGGGAAAGCGATAGAGATAAAGTTAGACATTTAGCCCCCAGCCAAAGAGATTTACGTTTTGCTGTTTTAAGGCGACAATCTCTTGCGCACGATCTCTACAGAACGAAAAAACTATCGCACTCTAGTATAATCGAGCCTCGTTTCAAACTAGTAGACTCAATAACTTTGACACATACAAAGTATTATTAATAAAAAAATTAACTCTCATACGCAGTCTAAAACACATTTACGAATGCGGCGCCAAAGAGTCACTGTCGTAGTCCCTACCATCGGAATCAGCGGAGGCGCCGTACTGCATACTCTCGAAATACTGCTGCGGCTTTCCGTTCCACAGGGAATCTGCTGCGGAGTCGATCGATGCGAGCGATTTGGCGTCTATAGCTGTCTCGTTCTCGTACAAGATGGACTTTGATAGTTCTAGGGCGAGATTCTGCGGGCTGTCGTAAGCGAGCCGGTATTCTAAAGCGAGTTCGGATGGTAGGGGTCGCGTGCGTACTGTGTGAAGGCGAGGGAATAGTGGAGCTAGACGGGAAGCGCGGGCGACGTATTCGGCCAAGGCCGCGCGGCTTACACTCACCCGGCTCATAGTCTCGCGGCTCGAACTCGCCCGGCTCAATGGTTCCCGGCTAGAACTCTCGCGGCTCGGAGTGGCGGCACCCTCGCGGCTCAACGAGTCCCGGCTCACAGAGTCGCCACGGCGCCCGACGCCGCTTGTTTTCTGCCAAAATCGACACCATTTTTATCCTAGCTGTCTCTGTCAACGGTTGAAATTGAGATTTCAAACTACTACTAACTAGCCCTAATAATCTTTTCTTTGGTGTGATTGTAAAGTAGAAAATGTAGAAAAGTTTTGTCGGAACAATATATCTTAGCTGTCTTAGCTGTGTTGAAATTTCAAACTTCTAAACTAACCATCCACAATATTTTATGTGATTGTCAAAGTTTTCTGTTTTTTTCGTATATTAATTAACATAGCTTATCCAAGTGTCTAAGTTCTGATCCCCCTTTGTGCTTTTTGAGATAAAGATATTCAAGTGGCGCTACATGTGTCAATGTTGAATCGTTAGCATAGAGAAGACGTTAAAGATTACTATTTTGACTATTTTTAGTTTCTATAATGAAAATTTATATAGCTGCATTACTCGATCGGCGGTGTTTTGGTGCAATAAATTGTCATCTATAATCATATCATACTGTAGCCCGAATCGTTTCAACGGTGCATCCAGCCATGTGTGATGTCTAACGGTATTTGCGTGGTGATGCAAATAGCCAATTTACGAATATGCCACTATGTCAAAAACTGAAATAAATAAAAGTCAACAGAATAAACTAAACTTTGATGATATATATATAACTATTTGTGATAATGACGTGTTGGGTGACAAAATAAGTGATATCTACATAATAATGACAACTTACACTTACCGTTACTGTGTCTCCGTATAATTAATATTCATGGTTAAACTGGTGGTTCACAAACAATGATTTTAAATGTTAAATAATAATGATTAAATTAGAAACAATATTATTGATGATATGATTAATTAATAACAAAAAATAAAATCGAGTTTTCGTGCACGGGTGAGTTTTGTTAATTTAATGTAGTAATGATTTGATATGTGTAGTTAATATTTGAGCACCTCTCCCGTGAACGATAACTTTCACAATGTGGCTTATGTGGTTATAATTAGTATGAATAAACGGGTGTGGCATAAAAATCTAATCACAATACATCAACATGAAATTCTATGATTCTTAACTGTATTCTATAAATTTTATTATATCGACACAAAAGTGCATTTATATAATTCCAAAGTGCGTAATAGACAATTTAAAGATGAACAAAACTATAAACACATAATAGTTTCCACAATTCATCAAAGATTTTTAAGCCATCACAACTTCACCTCAATTAGTGACAAACAGACGATCACGATCGTTAAGAGTGAAAGACCATGCTCTCCTAGTCTACGGGTCGAATCTACACAATCGGAACTGAACTAAAACTACACAGAACCGAGGTTAATTCAACCAAACGAACAAAGAGTAGGTAAATACTTCAACGGAACGCAAGCGGGCAAAAATCAAACGGCAATGAAACATGATTAGAGTTCACTCAAAAAAAAACAAACGGAATTAAAACGAAAACGCAAAATAAAACTTACGATCGACATAATGGCATGTGAATCGCGGCTTCTGGCGCCAATGGCTGCGATCCGCTAACGCGCGTAGGCTTGAGAACCAAAACCAAACATTTAGATCAAACGCAGTTTTAACCAAACATTTAGATCACACGCATTTCATAACCAAACATTTAGATCACACGCAGTTTTAGTCACTGGATGGGGTGCACTCACACGGTGGGGGGTTTATTAGCACTATATATAAATTTTATATAGAACCGGCAGACCTTTTAATTTTATTTAGCATTACACGGAACGGCGCTATTAACATTAAATAGTCTTTAAGTGACATTTAAACGCTTTTCAAAACGTTAAACCTGGTTGTGGCGGAACACTCAACCACCCAAAAAAATACATAGGACGTGGTATTAACACGTAGGTATCCTATGAACTTTTCATCCAAAAACCGGTCACTATTATATACTACAAACAAAACACACATATCCCAGTGAGTCTTAATTTTAGTAGGGCGTAGAATTTCACATTCCACTGCGAAGTTTTACAGGCCAATTTAGATTGGTTGTCTCATTATATCCGGATCGGGTTTATATTAAGATCCGGAGTCTTTAGTGAACCAATTGTTCCAGAAGTATCGGGCGCGCACCTTGTTGTCTAACGGGGATGTTCTTCGCACGGGGACCGAAGATTTGTTCGTCTGATGGGAATGCGATCTTGTTGAAGCGACAGATCTGACGCTATGAGCGGAAGGGGGTCTGGGAGCGGCCGCTTTTAAAGGGATTTTTGATGGTCTTCTTCGCGGAGTTTCGGATATTCTCGCTTCTTCGCCTTCTATAGGGTCGTTGTCTTCATCGGGTAGTGGTAGGGGTTCCATATCTCGCATGCTTGTGTGCCGTGAAGGGCTTCGGCGACGACCTTCCAATTGTCTTATGCATGCTCGCGCCCCTTCCAGTTCTATCGTCTTTTCCTCTAACTGTGGAAAGAAGATTGTAGATATTTAGTTTATAATCAAAATAGTCAATAATCGAAATCATTTATTCAGTTTAAGCTGTTACAAACACTCATGAACGTCTAGAAGCTACGCCCATCGGTTTGTAAATCTACGGAGACGTTGTACTGAGGAGAACCGGCAAAAAACTCAGCAGGGACTGTTTTCTTCTCCCTGTTTTATTATTTACAGAATCGGCAAGTTGAAAAATGACTTCAGAGATGATTCATGAAGTCACCGTTCATTACATAATGTGAAATTAAAGTAATTAAAGTTTGGTTGTGTATTGTATTGAAAATCTATATATAAGCTACTAGATATAAAAACATAAATTTGAGTAAAAATGCAAATATATATATTTTATTAAAAATACTTGACAATTTGTATTGTTAAGAAACAGTATTCAAAAAATGCCGGACTGACTATATTTCATTAATTTAAAAAAAAAATAATGTTGCAACATCAAGATAATAAGAAAATGTTGACCTGACTTACAGTATAAAATGTGCAGCCGTTTGGGTTGTCTATTATTTACATGGGCGAGCTACTGGGTTGCTAGGTATAAACAGGTATGTCGATTCCAGTTACGTTATCAACGGCTGCACATTCTATACGTTTTATTCTTTAAGTCAGGACAACATTTTCTTATCATCTTGATGTTGCAACATTAATTTGTTTTTTAATTAATTAAAAATAGTCTGTCCAGGATTTTTAGGCAACCCATTTTTAATATATTTTCTAATATACTTACTAAATTCATGATAAAATATGTTTCATTCTATTATCAGCACAGTGAAGGTCAATGTAGGTTCGGATCTTCTACTATCACCTTTTGAATATAGTACCCCTAGTACGAACCAATATCGAATTCGTATCGCTTGCGAGTCCGGAATGTCATTGTCAAATGTGTACTGATTTTTATTTCTTGCTACGTACTTGTGCCGCTGCTGTTCAAGTTTCCATACAAAATTTGACATTGACATTTCGGTTTGCAAACTATTCGAATTCGATAATGGTTCGTACTAGGGGTACTGAACTCTAAAATCAGTAACCACGTCAGTATTAAATAGTAGAAAACATATATTTACCCTAAATTTAAGGTCCTCATTGACGTCCCTGGTACGCTCGAGTCTTTCCAGTAGTAACGTCCGCTGCGCAGCCGCACGCCTCAGTTTTTCACACAGCACCTGAAATCATTGTTAATGGCATATTTAGATTCAGTAAAAATATTGCCTTTACTAATATAATAAGAAGTAAATACAATTCCGGACACATTTATCGGCTCACCCAGCATTTTAAGTTTTGGCATTCCCTAGCTAAAAATATATGTTACATTGAGCAAAAAGTTTTTACGCAGTTTTGAAGCTGATTTATTAGCCATCTTTTGATGAAGAAGATGAACTTCAAAACGGCATAAAAAAATTTTAGTCGACATTTTTGCTACATACCGTTGAAACTTATAACACTAAGTGGGCCGATAGATGTGTCTGGAAGTGTAGTTTTGTATCACGATTTCAAATTCTTTTAGCATTAGAATGTAACAGTATCCCTGAATAAAATATTGTTTATTTTATAGCGTTAAAAATACACCCGTGCATAGCCGGGGCGCATCGCTAATTTTAAATAAGTTTCGCACTACAAACATGTGTATAACTTGTGATTGATAAAATCAGCCAGTTATTAAATCGTCACAATCAGCCTTCTGAAATACTTACTGTGGATTCTAGCCTTCTTTATGGTGAAGATCACATTGTGACAATAGACTATAAATTCACTATGCGGGTTCAGTGCGGATTGGTAGATAATGACTGCTGATGCAGACGAGAATAAAGAAAACGTGTCCCCGGAAGTATGGAAGAGATCTACATAATACATTTTCACCCATAACAAACTACAAAATAAAAATAGTAATTATCAATTTGTTATTCCGAGTTAACACTATCTGTGTCTTAAAGCAATACCATTGAAATAGTACAACTTGCACCGTTTGCACGATTATTTCGTAAACTTCGCAGAAACGAAACCCAGGTAGTAAAATTTTATTAATGGACAGGGTGCATGCATCAGTATAGGCAGGTTATAAACTGGGATTGAGTCTTACACAAAACCTTGGTCAAAGTGGGATAAAGTTCAAAGCGGGTTATATTACCTTTAACTTAATGACGTTGATCAAAGTTTAGTAGTTTAATTACTGTTTTTTAGCAACAGATAAAGTATCCAATGATGCGTTTCTGTTACAGTTAAATTTCTTTTAACAGCTACCTTTGATCATAAGATCAATGAGATATCTTCAATGAAATCTCATAGTCCTTGATTTTATTATCTTAACTATAACATATCCCCGTCGTCTATTCCGATTTATACTATTGTAAAATATCTTGTGCAATTGAATAATTTAAAACTTGCCATTTGAAAAGTAAATACTCAACGCATCTCATTGAGGCTGCTTAATTAAGAAATCGGTAAAGCGCAGTAGTAGCTCGTCTGACTAGTTAGTAATCAAAGGTTAATCGTGCTATATTCCACCCTAGCGCAATACTGGTTAACGAGCTCACTAGCTTCTCATTTGACCCGACTACGACCTACTTGCCATCGCTAATATTACGGAAACCCTGCACATTAGCCGCTTTTACTAATCATTTCGCAATTTAATTACAGATATTAACTTAACTGCACGGGTAGTTCAACTAACTGTCAATTAATTGAAACTAAGGCAATCGCTACTGCGTTTGTGACGCCCATGGATTACACAGAAAATACATGCAGAATTTACAAAAAATAAACGTTATCTTTTTTGGTATTTTATGAAGAAAATACAAAAAAAAATACAAGTATTGAGACTACTCTGCTGTCTTGCTTGTCATTCGTTATCTGTACTTTGAGATAATTCGAAGACCTGAATGACGAAAAGCAAGTTTTTATCATGTCAACATATGTATTGAACATATTTTACTGAAACTTCTCGTGTATTGATATTTTATGAAATACACGAATTAATTTTCAGTCACTGGCATTGATGATTCAAAATAAGCTTATTTTAAATTTGCCCATACATGTGAATAAATTTTATTGATACATGATTCAATCAATACCGACGGTTCACGTGGTACGTAATTTGTTAACGATATACAATTGTGCAGAACGGCGGAATCAGTATTTTAATTTGATATTAGGTTACATTTATTATTTTTTACATTAAGAAAACTAAATGCGATTCTTGGCTACCACTCAATTGACAAAACAAGGAAAAAATCTTTTAACACTTCAGTTGCTTTGCTACCCATCGTCGGCTTTCCGTTGAAGGCCACAGGTGTTTTGTGCCCACAGTAAAGTTTTAATAGAAGTGAACTATGACGAATAAACGTTTAATAAATCACGCCACGACCCAACCGATTTATGGATAATCACCGTCAAGGACGCGTACGTTTTCGAAACCCACTAAATGGTTATTCAAAGCTTCAACAATGGAGTATAAAATTTGCGTAGTTTGCCGCCGCTATGGTGGTCGCCCGATCATGGCCACACTCCATTAGCCTTGTTTACTGTTCCGCGTAATTTTGCCGAAATCTCTCATTACGTCACGTGGCTCGATTTGACACTACGAACTGAGCCTCGTTAGTGCAACTAAAGTTTTTCTGCTACAAGTGGCACGTACTGATTACTTCACTGGTTCTGCAATTGACCAAGCTAAGACAATCTGACCGCCGCAAAAAAAACTGTTTCGCTATTTAAGTTTCTCTTTGTAATAGTTATGTAATTTTTTCACTCGCATCTTTGACTAATGACGTTGACAAAGTAGACACGTTAATGTTTATGTGCATTGTCTGAATTGTTGGTAAAATTAAATAGGGACAGTGATTAATCATCATGCAATTAGACAAGTCCGAAGATTTTTAAGAAGATTTTGTTTCGTTTCACAATGTGACTAACGATTTTAATCTTTCATTATACTTAGTCATTAAAAGAGAAGCATCGACCTTGCGTTGATAAGTTCGGGTTGCCTAATACAAACCACAATAGTACATAGAATGCATTGGCAACTTCGCTAAAATGTCCTCCCTTCAAGAATATCTGCTTCAAATTTTTTCTGTACGCTTACTTGTTTCGTTTTCCATTTTCAAATACTAAATCTATAAAGAAAGTGGAAAATATTTACACTTCTTTTAAATTATTATGAATCCTTTACCTTCAATTTACGGCAGCAGTAAAAAAATCAATTTCAGAAATGAACAGTCATTTGTCGATACAGTTCACAATCTAGCTTGATAGAACTGGAATGGCTGCATGATACGAGCGAGCAACGGAATGAGTTTTGTATATGTGTGCTCTTTTATTAGATGGGCGCATCATAAACAGTTTTATGGCTTAGTTTTTATTTGATTCAGACACAGATCACAGTTCGCTCCTTGTTCTTGAGTTTGGCAATAATAAGCGTTAGGATATCATATAAAATTCTAGTGAAAATGAATGACAGAAGTATTTATTAATTTTAGATATTTTATGACAAAAATTTCAAATGAAGTCATGAAAGAAACGAAGAAGAATCAACCTAAGTAGCCAATGTCTTTTTGTTTACTTATGACGACCTCCGCGGGCGAGTGGTATCTACGCCGGGTTTTATGGTGTCGCCTACTCAGAGGTCCCGGGTTCGAATCCCGGTGGGGGAAAAAGATGAATACGAGCATTTGTATTTGCACCTTAGTCATGGATGTTATATATATTTCTTGATAAATTATAATTATATATGTATCAGTATATGTATTCTTACAGTCAGTGCTTACTTTGGGGCTAGGCTAATTGGTGTGTAAGAAATATTTATTTATTTTACCCTCTTAAAATCAAGGAAGTGCATAGAACTTTTGACAGCTTTACTTATGTTTAAATATCAGACAAAATTTGGTGTGTCACTCACTACAGTCACTAGGGCAACTACATAATGATATGTGATGTGCAGAGGCAACTGGATGTGAGCAGTTGCCTCTGCAGTTCGACGGGATTGCTCTCTAGGAGAATCGCCTCGAACTTCTTGGAATTGGAGCATGGCGACGGCGGGCGATCTCGAAGACTTATCAAGCTACCAGTGATACCTAATAACAATGGCACTGATATATTAACGCAACTCACCTGATTCTGCACGGTGGATGTGAGCAGTTGCCTCTGCAGTTCGACGGGATTGCTCTCTAGGAGAATCGCCGCGAACTTCTTGGAGTCGGGCGTGGCGACAGCGGGCGGTCGCGTTGGCGTTTCGAGCGCGGCGTCTAGCCGGCCGAGCGGCGTCCGCGCGGATAGTACGGGCGCGGGAGTCGCGGCCGCTTCCGCTTCTAGTTGGGCCGCGCGCGCAAGTAACGCGTCGCGCTCGCAACGCAACCGCTGGAAGTCGGCGCAGTCGTTGCAACCGCCTGAAGCTGGCAAATAATAAATAAATATAAATATTTACAGCGCTCACATCAATTAGCCTAGTCTCTAAGTAAGCACTGTAAGGCTTGTGTTATATACTAGGGTAACGGTTAGAATACATATACAGTACATTTATAAGTATATTTATAAAGAAATACATATTAAATATCCATGACTAAAGTACAAATGCTTGTATTCATCACACAATCATCTGCCCACAACGGGATTCGAGCCCGGGGACCTCTCGAGTCGGCGACACCAGGAAACCCGGCGTATAAACCACTCGACCACGGAGGTCGTCAAAATCGGTCGGCAAATCGATTAAGGAACTGTTAAAACAATATTCAAAAACTCTATAGACATAGAGGATGAACTGAGCTGAGAGAATGAAAGTAAAAACAGCCAATACATAAACGATCTATAAAATAGGCAGGCTTTTTTCACACTTTTGACGAAATACGTACACAATAATAATATAAGTTATATAGAAACGTCTAGATAAATCTAAAGAATCGTATTCATGTACAAAAATCTTTACATTAATAAATAAAGCAGTTTTTGCTAAAAGAATTTTGTAATTTCGTATGTTATAATTTTCTCTTTCTAGTTATATTTTTTTTAGATTTAAATTGCGTATGTTTTTCATAGTTTTGCATTGGAGGTGAATAGGTAGAGGAAACAAATTGTTACGGTAGGTACTTATTTAATAGGTTTAAAGTAGATAGCACTCGGTATTCATAAGTATCGCAACCGTTGGAAGTCGGTGAAATCAGAAGACGATTTTTTAAGAAATACAATTTCTCGTTGATACTCTCAAGTCATTCGTAACGACTCAAGTACATTACAAAAACATACTTAAGTGTTTTCGTAACGATCAAGTATTTCTATTACAAAAAAAACTATAGTTTTTGTGAGATAGAAAATAAAAGAAAGTGCGTGTTTAAAATGTACGGTTCCGATACTCATCTACATGCACACAACAGCAGTTTTAAATTTCGTCACACTTTTTCTAAATTTTGTTTGAAAGATTTTATCTGCCGACTAGGCAACTCAACAGCAGATTCCGTTTCGGTTGGTTGAGTTTTATATGAATTCCGACTCTAAAGCGAACAAGCGAACGGTATTGCATTTGAATAATACGAATGCAAATATAATACTTAATTTCTATTCAAAAATATCAAATTGTGCCCTACATTTTAGTAAATGCAATGAGGTCGTCCAATGAAAAAAAAGTTGACCGCATCTGTGTCTGAACCACAGACATAGATATAAATAGATATCGCAAGTGTATGTACTTCAGGTGCCAAAAGGCAGTCCAATGGTCATCCTTTTACGCTTAATTATTTCTTCGCGTCACTGTTCGATACCGGACGTCCATCTTAATGTTTAAAAAATATCTAACTATGTCATATTAAATTGTAAAAACAATATAAATGAAATAGGTGAACGGGGCCCATACTTTTTCACCACCTATTTCTTCTAGTGGGATACAATAAAATTTGAAGTACATGCGGCATCTACTTCAATCTAGGTCTGTGGTCTGAACACTGCATTTATCTTTTTGAATACCTAGTTTTCGGCAGACACGTCTCAAGGTTTGAGGAGTGGGCATTGACCAACTTATCGTGGCTTCGTTAACAGCTGATAACTGGTCGAATTCAATGGGCAAAGAAAACTGGAAAGGGCCTTATTCGTTGTCACTTACGTAATTTAAACACTTTACGAGGGCGTGCATAGTTTTGGAAACCGGTCGGATCGACATATCTTAGTACACCGGTCTTCGAGATGTCGCCTACTCAAGAGGTCTTGGGTTCTAATCCCGGTGGTGAAAATGTTTGTATGACGAATTACATTTGCACCCAAGTCATCGATTTTATAAATACACTGTGAAATTTGAGTTACCTTAGAAACGTTACTAGCTTAATTAGACAATCATTTAAATTATATTCCAGCAAAAAATTGATCTTTAATTCATTTTTTCAAGAAGTGTCTCCATGTTTGTTGAATAATTTTGCAATTATGAAAGCTTAGCAATTTTAATTGCCATAAATGTGGGTGTAGTTCGTTTACTGTTTATAACTGTTCTCACTATTTTCATTAACACAATATGTTAAGTTTCTCAGGTATATAAAAATTCACGGTGTTTACATATTTCTATAAAATACTTTAATAAGTATCACTATTGGGTATACGTATTTCTATACTTTACCCTATAACACAAGCCTAACAGTGCTTCTTATCTTACTTTTGGGCTTGGCTAATTGGTGTGTATTAGACATTTTTTTTGTATACTACTGTTGTCTGCAATTTCGTCTGCGTGAAAATTGGTATCCCACACAAACTTCCAACCTCCTTTTACCCCCTTTAAGGAACTGATCCAGGGGGTAAAAAAATATTTAGTTTAATAGTACCTGGGGCGCACGCAGCGCGAAGGACTCCTCTGTTGAACCGCCTGTATCACTTTCATCGAGTTCAGTACGCAATAGTTCAGCCTCGTCTCTTAACCGGATTACCCTTGCGTTGTATGACGTCAATCAGTGTTTACTTTGGGGCCTAGCATTAACAAATATGTTAGAAAAACTGCTCTCACTGTCTACTTGTTATTTACCTGAGAGTGCGCGCGCGAAGGACTCCTCCGCTGTGTCTCCTGTGCGTCGTTCATCAAATTCAGTGAGCAAAAGTTCTGCCTTCTCTCTTAACCGGATCCCTTAGCGTTGTATGACGTCGAAGAACGCGTCCTTTGGGGCTAAGCTAATTGTTAGAAAAATCTCTCTCTCTATCTAATTGTTATTTAGGTACCTGAGAGTGCACGCGCAAAGGACTCCTCCGCAGTGTCTCCTGTATGTCGTTCATCGAGTTCAGTGCGCAATAGTTCTGCCTCGTCTCTTAACCGGATTCCCTTGCGTTGTATGACGTCGAGTAACGCCAACAGTTCGTCCTCGAGCGGGCGCGGGCGGGACGCGCTGGCGGAAGCGGAAGCGGAGGCGGACGATGAATGAGCGTCCTTGCCGCAAGAGGTCTCAGTGCTGAACCCGGAGTCCTTGGGGATGAAGGAAATGTATAGTTAGATATATCGTTTGGTATAAACAAAGTGACGCTGTGATTTGAGAGATGCGGTAGCCAGAGCTATAGGCATAGCTGCTTTCTGGGCAGCATCTCTACAAGTGGAAATGTGTACAAAAGTCATTATTGCGAATACAGGTTGGTAAATGATATTGTATACAAACTTACCAATTATATTGTATTTAGCCATTTTCTGACTTGCTGTCATGCAATATAATTTTTTTTAACCATATTTTGTCTTGCTGACATGCTATGTCAATTCATCTAAGTGTATGACGAAGAATTACAATACAAAAGTAACAAATTAGTAAGATGTTGAAGGAAGGAAGGTTTTGAAAAATGAAACGAATTATGAACACTGCATGAAACATGCAATCTTGCCATGATATAATGCGCGGCGCAAACGGCAAGGCGGGCCGGGCCGGAACGATAGGTCAAAAAGAAATCGTATATTAGATTAAAATAAGAATTGTTCCAAAAAGAATTTGTTGGCTGTCCAGTCCAGTGAGTAGAAATAATTGTTTGTTACAAGTACCTATACGTAAACAGAGAAGCAAAAAAGCGCGATTTGTTAGCGCATTTCTATTTGTGATCGTGAAAGTTAAGCAACATTCGCAATGACTAGTAATCGGATGAGTTACCAAAAAATGTAGAACGTATTATCGAGCGTGCTTAGGAAAGCACGTCAAGCCGTTGGTCTGCCAAGTACCAAGTACCAATCCGCATCTGACCCTCGTGTTGGGTCATAGAGCAATCCCCCTATTCCCCATCCATAAGGAAGACCAGTGCCCTAGCGGTGGGGACATTGATAGGTGATGATGGTCGACGCCGGTATCTTCCACCGTAGTCCGTAAGTTGGGAAGGTCTCGATGACGAAATCGTTTGCTTCCAACTACTGGTAAGAGCTTTAGCGTTTTTGCCGACGCACACTTTCTTAGCAACCAATATCGTAAATGAGGAACGCGCTTGCCTTGACGCCCTCCGGCCATTATGCTTTCCGCAGTAAGCATACCATCAGAGTAAGGTTACCTGAACTGAGGGCTGGGGCTTGGCGCCAGCCGACCAGTGTAATTTAACACATTACAGTTCTGGATATCGAAATTCGACAAATATTTCATTTGTCGAATTTCAATATCGATCCACGGAAAAACCATTATCGCTATATTTTCAACATGCTTATGGTGCAATTCAAACTTTACAGCGGTTGTGAAGTTAGCAGCGAGCGCAACTTTGAGCTGGTTTTAGTTCAGTGACATCCTGCACGCACAGCGACTTGCGATGACCTCACAGCCGCCATTAAGTTGGAATCGCAATATACATACTGCCAACGCACGCGGACGGACAAAAAGACCGGAGACCCCAAGATGAATTTTTGACAGCTCCGTAACGTATTGTCATCATCAAATTTTGTATACGTTACGGAGCTGTCAAAATTTGTGCTTCGGCCTCAGTGCCCTAGTCTATAGAACTCTTTGTCAAAAAGGCATATCGAGACGCGACGAATCTTTGTCGTTAGCCCAGACAGGGTCATGAATTATTTGTTTGTCGCCTAATACGGTAAACATCGATCCATCATCAGTACCTCAGCCGTACGATGGCCACTGCTGAACATAGGCATCCCTCAAGGATCTTCACAAAGATCGGTCCTGCGCTACTCGTATCCATCGGCTTCACCAGATCGTCTGTCCACCTGATGGGGGGGCCTGCCCTCTGAGCGTCGTCCGGTGCATGGTTGCCATTCGAGAACCTCTCGAAACATCGATCCATGGTACAAATATATTACCTGAACAGACGGTTGTGGCTTGGCGCGCGCCGAATCGGCCGTGCCGCCGGCCAGTTTCCGACGCACGCGCACGCCGGGCTCCCAGTCGCGGCGGGTGCCGCTCGCCGGCGTCGACGGCGGCATCTTCGAGCGCAGGTTGGGGAACGTCTCGATGACGAGGTCGCGGAACTCGAGCAAAGCGCCGACCTCATTCTGGAGTTCCTGGTTTAAATTGTTTTTTTTAAATACTTACACGCAACTAAGAAGTTTTTACAAGAAAGATAAAAAGTTCAAAGTATTTAAGCGGAATTTTCACGATCCGGTTATCCGAGCGCATTCGGATGATACTCCAACTGGAGTAGGTATACTCGGACTGTGTTCACGAGCACCTCCAGTCTAATTTAAAAATCAAAATAGCGTGCAAGACAATTTTTTTGAGTGAAAAAAACGCTACGGACATTATTCAACTGGAACGTGTAAATCACAATCCAAACACTTGATACGAGCTACTCGTACGAGTGCACTCGATCACCTTTATTGTGTAAGATCAATATTGCAAGACGATAACATTCAGCGCTGGACAAACACTGGTGGAAGCAGGGTCGCCCACTTCAGATGCAACTCTGACGCTGACTATGATCCTCAGACATGAGGGACCAACTCCAGAGAAAGAGATTAACGTATAGCTTACTTTTTTTAATCAAACGGTGTATTATTTATTTTTACCAAACTGAAGGGTTCGCGTTCTTCTCTTCTCAATGTACTCTATTTTTTTGCTATTTACTACCTCTTCATACAGCGACCTCAACCCTAACCGGCAGAAACATTACATGAACCCACGTAACTCGTATTCAAAAGACTGACGATTTGGAGGAGACCAAAAGTCATGGAAGATTGTTGAAATTTTTTTGCTGCCCCGGACGTTCGACCCTGTATAAAGGGCTCATGGTGAAAGTAGTTCACAAGGTGCCGCGCTCAAGTAAATCCCAAAAACCCCGCTTAAGCTCCCCTAATATTAAGCATAAAAAATAAATAATTATCAAAAGTGGTGAATACAAGGTGAATGAATAAGAAAACGTAATTATGATAAGCATTTATTTTAAATGACGACTTGAGTACAAACTTAGATATTTACAATAAGACAAGTACTCAAGAAATCAGTAAAATAAAATATTTTCAGTCATGGTAAACAAATTGATGTACGCACATCAAAGAAGTCTAAGCAACATGCATCATTTTCGCAAACTGCAAGTTTTACAGTTGATATTTTATATTATAGTTATGAACTTATGAAGTGCATAATTAACTTATACAAAGGTTTTTTTGCTGTAAGTAGTCACTAATAAATCAAATTGCTTAATCAAAAAAAAAATCAAAAAAGTTCATGTTGCTTAATCTCTTGATATTCGATGAGTATATTTTTTACTTAGTATACAATGCTGATAATATGTCAATATCAGATTGAATTTATAAATCTTTGCATATAATATCGTAATTGGCAAGTAACACAAATCCCGGCTTCAAGGTGCATTACGAAAAAAGACATCGCACCACTGTCATTCCAAGCTGACCGACTTGCACAATCAATCAGCAAATACTAAATACACTTGATATCCTACTAATATTATAAATGTGTATGTTTGTATGTATGCATTTACGGCTGAATGGATTTGAATGAAATTTGAGACACATATAGCTGGATTGGTACAGGGTACATTTTGTCCCGAAAAATATTTAAGGTCCTAATAATAATCGTAATCCTGAGGGATTCTCAAAATACGCAGACGAAATCGCGAGCGAGCGACCCGGTGACCGCTAGTAGGCAGGTATAAACGATATCAATTTTACTATCGAATCATTACATTTTTGAAGTGAAACTTCTATTCAGACGGGGTGAAAATGGACAAAACCTATGCAAAAGATGAAACGGAAATATGCGTGACGAGCTTCACACGACTATATATAAATAAAATAAATAATAAATATTTCCGACACTCACACCAATTAGCCTAGCCCCAAAGTAAGCACTATAAGGCTTGTGTTATGGGATGCTAGGGTAACGGATAGAATACGTACATATATAAGTATATTTATATAAATACATATTAAACATTCATGACTGGAGTACAAATGCTCGTATTCATCACACAAACATCTGCCTCCACCGGGATTCGAACCCGGGACCTCTCGAGTCTGCGAAGGCCATGAAACCCGGCGTACAAACCACTCGGCTACGGAGGTCGTCCAATATATGTGTGTGTGTGTGTGTGTGTGTGTGGGATGCGTGTGCAGCTCTTCCAGACGAGTAAGTTGGAGGTGAACTCAGCGAAAGCTGAAACGCTACGAGCGTCACCCGCGATATATATATTATATAGTGCGCTGCTCCATCCCCCTATGCCTTATGCACCGCCTAATATTACGTTATTTAAAAAAAGAATTTTCACTTCAGATGTGTCCGTGAGCACACTATTTTTTTCTCAAACTTATCACTTAAATTACCAATCTAATCAAACTAACGGCGGTCGTAGACTCGTAACTTTTACATTGAAAATTCCTCAAACAAGTCTCTTAAATTGCAACGATCAAATTAAACAAATACCCGTCATAGACGTTCATAACAAAATATATTGAAGGACTTGATTTAATGTAAAGCTCCTTATTTAATATTTTTGAACTTATTATGTTGTACCGCCACAAAAAAGTTAGACATTGTTTTAAACCATGTTTTTTCCAGGCACATTGGCACCAGGCAAATTTCGTATGACATTTTCTTCTAAAACTCGTGTTATATGCTTTACTTACTTTTTTTGTGATAAGGTCAATTAAGATTAGTCTACTTTGCGCAATGAAAAAAAAATACTGATTATTTCGTACTCATTAAGCGTTATTCCTATACACAGCGCTTGAGACTATCAGTGTTGCCACCTTGGATTTTTTAAGGCGCCAAGTCAAAGGTAAATATCGCCAGATTTCAAAAATTTGGATTGAATAAAATACACCAAAATCCGCTAAATTACAATTACATCCCAGACAACAAAAAACCCTAATTTAAATAAAAAAAACCAGTGAATATGTATGAGATGCCAAAGAAATAACTATATCCCGTAGTCGTTCTAAATTAGTAAAATTTAGTTATTTAAAAAAAATTGGCAATATTGTTTTTACTAACTTATAACTTTTCCGAGCGTTAACTTAGTAGTACTAGAGAATGTAATAAAACCAGATATGTATTTAGATTCATTATTTATAATCAAGAAATAAATCTTAAACAATATGTGAAATTTAAAATTCTATATTGTTAAATATTACATCTTCTATAACTTCATCGTTGTTCACAGAGGCCGACGCTTCTGTCAATGAAGCCGATGTCGAAGCTGAAGATGTTTAGTGGTGGTTGTAGTGGATTTTTTAAAGAGTATTTTGTATTTTTTAAATGATATCGTTCGATTGCCGGATAGAATTTGCATTTTTTGTTTGTACTTTTTTGTTTCAACATGTCTTCTCAAATTTACTTCTTTTGCTAATAATTCAGCTTTATAAAATGAACAAAACGCCTTCGCATAAAAAACCACTAAAAAACACTAAAAAAATTTACCCGCTAGATAATGAAAATATACCACTAGAACCCGTGAAAAAGCACCACTGCAAGGTGGCAACACTGGAGACTATACATATATTATTGTCGCAACAACATTTTTTGGTTTTTAATTCTCGAGATAAAAACGCACTCACACGGGTTACCATCCAGGATAATCCCCTACCTTATACGTCATAAACTAAATTATAATCGGTTTCACGTAACGTAATAGAGTACCTATTTAAAGTATAAAAATATAATAACAGTATCACATTGTAATATTATAGACTTCAACGAAAACACCTAACTAATCGATGTAACCTTATCAAGTTCTGTGAACCTTTTCCAATTAACAATTACTCATAGTAGTGTCATTGACCCATTACAGCACAGGTTAGATTTGAAACAGTGGCCGGAGACCAACGGCTGCCCTTCCGAAGCGGAGTAGTTCATGGAAAACTAGTTGGTCATCAAGAAAACAGGTTATTTTAAAATTCCCCTGTTATTGGCAAAGCAAAGGAATTAACGCACGACACAGTCACGTAGTCGGTATTTATATGAAAAATAATATAATTAAAGTTGCTTTATGAAACCTTGGTGCGAATTAAAACTTTTAATTTTTTTACGCCTCTCAATATTTTTATGAGTTTATTTGAGCGGCCGACCCCCACAGGAATCTAACATTTTTCGGTATAAAGAGTTTCCTATGTCTTATTCCAGGTCATAAACTGTATGTGCACTATTTTTTTTTAAATCCGTTCAATAGTTTTTGCATGATTGAGTAACAAGCATACAAACATTCACATTTGTAATATTAGTAGAAATTAGGATTCGAAGAAGAATTTGAACAACGAAATTAGTCCTCTTTATAAGAAATAGAATATAAGATTGATATTATATTATTTCTAGTAACTTTCCATTCCGATCTGTTATTTAAACACCCACACAGATTTGATATTTTAACAGTAATTAAATAATAGCCGTCATATTATAAAATGACTAAGAGTCGTAAAGCTGTAACGGTAATATTACCATAATTAAGAAAGCAATTAATTGATGCAAACTAGAAAAATACCTACCTTCTACTAATAGGATAAAATTCATGTTTTCGGAATAAGTAAAAAACCAAATGTCGACTAAAATGATTCCAACTCATATGAATTATTTTTTCGCAGCCCCCGCTCATATAAATAAATGGGTTAGTGAGGGTCTCAATTGCTTAAAGATTACGAATTTCACAACGCGGAATCTGCAGTGAAAAGTGAGTACACTGCACTACATATGCTTTTCGTAATACAATTGTATAAAACAAAATAAGATATATAATTAACAGAGATGTGACTTTTCTGAGATAAAGTATCTCCTATACAGATACAAGATACGTATTTGTATCTTGTATTTAATTACTTTTTTTCAGTATCTTAGTATTTTGAAGATACCTTTTTTACTAAAATACTTTTTCATTTCCTATATAATTTTCAACATTGATTTTAAAACGCGTGCATTACTTTTCTATAAACTTTATTCACCGTGAAAAATAAAATCGTAAGTTGTCTTTTTGCCGTCTCGTTCACCTTAATGTTATGGGTTAGGTGGTAGTGCACAAAAAATACGTAACCTCCCCTAAGGTACGTTTTTTTTATTAGCGTTCACTAGAGGAAGAAGAATCGTTTGAAATTTGCGTCAATTTTCTTTGGTCTGTTATGTAATGGAGTGAAATGAAGATAATAATCAGGTTATTTTTACAAATAATTAGAGAGAGAGACCGGAGCTTATTAATGATATCATCTCTAGAACATGACAATGCGTCCCCATCCCAAACCCAACCAATCGTGAACAACCTGCATATTATTAATAATCGCGGTTACCCATCCCAAACCCAACCAATCGTTAACAACCTGCATAGTCATGGTCATCCAACCTAAACCTGACCAATCATAAACACTGCAATATCAGAATATCGCTAAAAACTTACACCGAAACTATAATTAATTCATAGTTCTTGATAAATATTAAAGAAACGTGAATGCAAGTAAGATCAATCGTAAGATGATGATGAATTTGATGATTGGAAGAGCAGCAGCCACGCCACGTCTTTAGGTTCGTGGCCTAACGGTTTTGTTGTCAAAAAACAGGCAAAGCGGACTGGCTATATTGCTAACATGTTTTGATTCAAAAAGTATCTTTATCTTAAAAAAGGCATTTTGTAAATACGTATCTTGTATCTGTTATCTAAATACTTGACTACCTAGTATCTTGTATTTTATATACTTTTTTAATGCTTATCCTCAGGCGGGCCACGTTTGCCTGCCACCCTTTAATTAATCATAAAAAAGACCACACGACTGAAGTTAAACTTCTTCAGTGTTCCAATGATCTGAAAATCATAAACTTAACCTGAAGATTTGTTGATAGAAAAAAAAATAACATGCGGCGGATTTCAATGGCGTAGAATTAATAGTAAAATACTAAATTGTTATTCTTCTTCTTCTTCTAGTGCCTCTCCGAACAGCGAAGGTTGGCAGTCAGCTTAGCATAATATGTCTCCTTATCCTTAGCGAGATGGATTAGCATATAATTCAGCGGCGCTCGAGATTCCAGTCCAACAATTGTTATTGATTATTGATAAATTACGTCGTGTAATTAATTTAAAAAACATATTTTAATAGTTAACATCAAGTAAACATGTAAGTTAGCACTCGATTCATGTATTTTGTGACAAGTTTTTTTCATTGTTTACCGATGAGTCACCGATGACACTAATTGTACCCCCCAAGTCGAGAGTACCTAAAGAAGTTTCACTTAAAAAAAATAGTAATGCAGTACTTGTGTAGATAAAAGGAATTATGACAGTACCCACCTGTAGTGCAACAAGGGACTTAGCCTGCTCCGAGATGAGGTAGTGGAACGGACCAGGCGGCGAGCGCAGTTGGATGCACTCCATGCCCGACCCGCCCGAGCCGCCGCTGGCGCTGTCTGCACCCCCCGTCTGCAAACAACGGAGACGAACGCTTGTTATTTTGCTCCAATAAATATAAATTTCCGTCGCCATCGCTATGAAGATGTATAGGCTGGTTTTATCGTTACGCGTTTCGGCAGCGCCGTTGGAGCGCGCGCACCCGTAAATGTATGGGGTTAGTCGTTGCGTGCTTCAGTAGCGCCGTTCGGTAAGCGCTGTTGAACAGCGCGCTGCCCAACATCGGCGCGTCTCGAGGCGTGAGTATAAAACCAGCCTAACACTTATTTCATGAAAAAAAAAAAGAATAATAGTACATTATGATATAAGTGCGGTGAGTTGAGAAATACAGCCGAGGCGATATTGTTAGCCCCTACGGCTCGGGCTAACAATATCGTGAGGGCTATAAGGCAGAGTCTGTAATTATCAAACCGCACGTATGTCATACGACGTTTTATAGCACATTTGCGAGGAAATAATAGTACCTACGTACGTACTTTCTGAAAATGAATTTTCACCTTTGTTTGTTTCCATAAGATGAAATTTTGATACGCTTGACTGTTAGTATCTGTCCGTGGATATTTCGGGCAAGAGGCTTAGCGTAGCCTTTTTCGACTTCTGGCGTTCGTTTTTAGACGGAACATAATAAGCCGTGCGTTTTACTTTACATTACCGCACGCGTGTGTAATGTGATAGATTATGATATTGAAATTGGTGCAATAAGAGACGCTTTACGAGCAAATGTGTTATAAAAAAAGTTACACCACCGAATGAAGCGTTTACTGAGACAACTATGTTTGTATCTCGCCTATAGTGCATGATACGGTTCTTAGTAATTTCATAATGAGTTACCACTTAGGGTTTTTCCATGTACTATCTCTAATAAAAGCATAATGTAATCAGTAAGTAACGTTATATATAATTATTATTTCCAACAATTATCGAGACCGTCTTATTTGTATTTACACAAAATGTTAAACATTGCAGTATCAAGACATTTCTAACAGACGTCACTGAAATTGTTTACTTCCGTTTTAGTCTAGGTTGTAAATATCAAATTACTAGTTGACCCCGCGAACTTTGTGTCTAACAGTAGATGAATGTGGTTACATTGAAGAAAAATGTTATAGCGCAATATCGTTGCAAGAAGTGCTTGAGTGGTGTTCGAGCACTTCTTGATTGGGACACATTTTGAGCGCACATTATCTAGGGTATTTAATATCGTTGTTTTAGCGAGTCAAACTTAAAAGATGGACATATGCTGTCGTGGACTTTTTTGGAGCTTTTAAAAGGGAACAAACCACTTACGCAGCGCACGCGACGGTATATGTATTCTATCCGTTACCTACCCTCGTATCTCATAACAGAAGGCTACAGGCTAATTGCAACCTATTACCACCGAGACTCAAACAATATAACCATCCTCGACAAATGGACTATTTATCACAAAAAAAAAAAAAAATTTTAATTTGAATCAGTAGTTCCTGAGATTACCGCGTTCAACCAAACAATCAAAGAAACTTACAAACTCTTCAGCTTTATAATATTAGTGTAGATATTCTAGGCGTGTTTTGAAAGTGTCGTGTTTGTGCTTCGATCAGTGTTTGTGTGAGTAATAATATTTTTTGAATATTGTCATTTTGGTGAGCTTAGTTGAATATACAATGTCAATAATAAAAAAGATTGCTTATAATGGTATGTTAGTATTCAATTGATATCTTTTAAAGGAAACAAGTAATTTCTGGTCTGACCCCAACACCTGATAGAAGTAATACTAAAACAAGTACATAATAATAATTACCTCGAATCAACAGAAGAAACACATCACCACAAAGTAAATGTTTCAAATCAGTAACATAGCTTTTACGTAATTTTAAATAATATTAATATCAAAAATATGTAGCTGCAAAATTGTAAATAAGGACAGTAAGTGACTTCTAAATTAATATTCCTCTCTGTTACATACAATATCTACCTCCAATCGTCTTGTAGAAGGAAGATATAGAATATAAATCGGTATCGATAGTTCTTTACATAATAATGAGCAGCAAAAACAGACCAAAAAAGACAACTGGTAGGTAGGTAATTTTTTGAGAGACATTTTTTACAGGCAGTCTGTCGATTCGGCACACCGACACAATTAGAATCTAGCAAAAAACTGATAGCAAAGCATATCCCTTGTCATGACCATGATGACATTAATGGGTCACAGAAAAGACTGTGGAATATTCTATCCAGCTGACTAGTTTTAGCAACAGGCAGCGGCGACAGTAATGAGGTTAAGTTCGTGACAAGTACAGCCAATGTTAAAGCAATTTGCTGTAAATCCAATCAAGGGTATGATTAGAACGACCACCTGTTGGACTGACGTGAAGCTTCTCATCAGACGTAAAACCTTAGACTTGGCAGTAAAATTCACCATATAATTAAACTTTTTGTAGACAATGATTTGTACAACACAAACGAGGATGTGACATTGCGTGTTGATAGATGATACCCGTAAATAAATCTGAATTATAACTATAATGAGTTCTAAATTGAAATAATGATATGAAAAAATCATATTACCCAAAAGAAAATAGGCTTAATAATATCACATTATTTTGTGATAACGATGACAATACAAAGATTGAAGACAACAAAAAAGCTAAGGTTTATATTCACATAAGTATTGTTGTTGTAATTGACATGTTAGTCAATTCAGACATCTTAACAAGTGTAAAAAAATAGCTACATGTTCACAACCACTGACCATAGTGGATGTTTTACAGAAAGGGTAGTCATGTAGTTGTTTTAAAACACCATGTTTTGCTTTGGAAACGGTAATATTTATTTGTGTTCATACACCCGGCTGCTGACTTTACAAAACGTCAAGTCTAAAGATTTTTTACTTTCCACTTAAACATTATCTTTAGTTTTAGAGATTAGATCACGATACTTCATCGCTGCGATAGCGTTAATGGCTAGTTTTTGGCCCTGCCCTTTTCAAACGGTAACTTCATATCGTTATTATATTATCGGTTATGAACGCTACTCACGCTATCGTAGGGTCTTTAGGTTTTTGACGCTTTAGTTAGTTGGTAGTTGGCAGTAAAGTTTACTTGAGATTGAAGTATTTTTTACGGTGCTGTCTTGTCTATATTCAAACAAAATAATGTCCCTGTGCAGTTTGTCTACAAATGTATAAAATACGTCGCCATGCCGTGCTCCCTCCCTAGCGTAAAATTACATTCTTCCACCATCATTGTAGGTACACGCTACTTTGCATTACAAAAAAATGTATTGCTAAATCAGTTTCTTTTTCATAGTCAACTCGAGAACATAAAGCGTTTAAATCGGCGCTTTTTATTTGTAGGTCGCAATGCCATTAGGGCTAAAAGGTACTTAGCTTCCTTTGTGTCTTTTGAAAATGCTGTTATTGTTGTTGTATCGTAGTTATTGTGGGAAAATTTGTAATCCCCTCAGTCCATTATTTTTACATAAGTATGTTATAATCATACATTTACGGGCATACGTTAACTTTGCAATTTTATGATAAAAAAACGACCAGTTTTTATATGCTTACCTATTATTATTTTAAAATAATGAAAATACCAATAAAATAACAAAGTAATCTCAGATATTTCTATTTGATATGGGATCGATAAATTCATATTGAATAAATATGTTAAAACAATGGCACAGAAACAATCTCCAGTAAACTCAGTTTAATCAAGTAAGTAACGATTTTAATTTAAAGAACCTGCGTTCATGCATGTCAATCAAAAGAGCTTATTAAAACGAACATGTAAATAAAACTTTAGAAACAAACAGAACTATTGAACTATGTTCATCACACAAATAAATTAAATATCAGTAACAGGATTTGAATGAACCATCTGCGAACTCATAATCTTTGATTTCACATTTGACAATCATTGAAGTATTTTTAGAAAAATAAAGATAAACTTTACATGTCGTGAACACACAGCCTGTTACCTATTCATCCATATGCATGTAATCCGCAAATTTAATTATGTTAAGCCAGTGTCATTGAGAATGACTTTGTAGTATATAATATGATATTTATTATCTTTAAATCTGTGGGTATACATCGCTTGTGTGGTGGTCAGATCAAAAAAAATGTGGTGGTTGTGGTTGCAATGTTGATTTTGTAGGACTAAATTTCGTTCATATTTATATTTCATGTCTAAGCATAATTATTGTACAATGTTACTTTAGAAAAATCGCACACCCAAAACTACATTTAAATGGCGTAACATTTCCACATACCTTCGGCTGTCGTCTACAATGGTATTCTAAAGTGGCAGAGTCCGATGACAGCCTTTTAATAGAAACACTACTTACAGCAATTCGTTAACTGAGAGTAAATAAGAAAAACTATAAAAATAGACAGAACATTCAAGTTGCAAATATTTGAGTTAATTCCAGAATCAAGAGCTTCAACGGGATTTTTAGCATGCCATTATTCTAACCGACGAACGACAAACGATCTTGTAAAATACAAAAAAAAACGGGAACAGTGCAAACACGCCCGACGCTGGTTACGTGTTTCACCGCAAATTATATCAAATTACGCTACCCCAATGATTAGTAAGTTAGATAGATGTAAACTAAGACCAGTCGAGTCCACAATGGTGCAGCGAGAAAGCTGCCGCCGCGCCGCCGCCTCGCGGTAATCACCGGGTGCCTCGGTGCCTGTTTACAGACCCGACGAGCGACGTTGACAAACAACGGCAAAAAGCAGGCTTTTTACGCGACACTGTGGCGTTTTAGTTGCGTCAGCGCAAGGCCGCGTGCGTATCTCTTCGAGTTGAGTTGCGCCCGTGTTATTATTATGACATAAAGCTATAACATTAAGACACCCACTCACATGATTAGTTCCCCACCACACCACCACTCCAAAATGCCGGATCTGTCAATTGTTTGTTTTCACTCGGCGCCAACAATATGTAAATTACGGACATAATATACAAGCTGTGGTTGTTCACAACTTAATGACACTTTCATGTACACGATGTAATGATGAGTGC